CTTTATATTGTTGTGTACAATACAGTAGTTTCCTTAACAGCTTTTTTTCTTACTGTAAACAGTAAACTGTACATATTTACTTTTTAGGAAATACTTTCACATTCAATTCATAGGTTTCCAGTGACAAATTTAAATGTTGCGTTGATTTATAATTAATGTACCGATTTTTTACAGAATGTGTTGTATTTAATACATTTATGTAATATATTAATTTATATTTATGTTCGCCTACTATTGGAGCATTTCGCACATAAATAGGTACTGTATTTACAATATATATTTTATTTTATATTTAAAGGTTCCTGGTAACAATTTATTGTAGGTGCTATATAACTACAGTTGTGTATAATTATTTATAATGGATATTAGCAAGTTTCTATTTTTCAATAAAAAGGGAGTGTGGAACATCCTTAGTCTTCAAGAAATTTTTTCAATTAATACTTTAACCCTGATGGCTAAGCCTGCGTCTAATGTTTTAATTGCCCAATATGCTCTTTGATCTTTTTAGATGGTAAACACATCCGTATTTTTAGTATAGGGCCTGTTACAGAGCATGTGCCTTGCGTTTTAATTAAAGTATGTTATGGAATTAAAAAATATATTTATGATAATATAGTTATGTATAATAAAGAATGATGATTATACAGTTTATATTTGTATTTTGTCTGGTTTACAAGCTGTAAATATTCGAACTGTATGTGGTGGTGTCGGTGTAGAGATAGAGATATAAAAATATGGTATATGACCAAGGTAATTCAACAGAAGGACGCACATCTCCGCTCTCGAACATAGCGATGACCATCGCCTTGTCAGCGAGAATTCACCGGTTCAATTCCCTGCCAGGGTCAATTTTTGAAGAACAGTTGGTAAAGCATGGGTAAAGGAACTTCTTCAACAACAGTTACATCATTGTTCCTTTATTCAAGGACTGTTAGGCACCAAATTAAGCCTACTATATAATTAGTTCAAACGAATTCCTCCATGATTTGACTGTCTTGAAGTGTAGGCTCAAATCTCACTGCCTTTCACATTTAATATTTTAATTCTGTTATTCCTTAATAATCTTTTTCCATACTGTATTTTGCTATAACTTCACAGCGCATCGATATACCGCCGTTTATTAGCTTTATAAAGCGAGTCACCATCCCATTACTACGGTATATTAATTCGAATAAACGTTATTCATGTTCAGAAGGGTTTTTGAGGGGGAATTTATTCGAGAGAGGCGTTTATTTTCTTTGGTGGGAAAATGGATTCAAATAAACCCCCTTAATTTTACTACAACAAAACTACAACACATTAGTACCGTCAAAATGTGTCATTGCGTGATCATAAATCCCAACCGGGTTAGAAAAAATGTAATTCTACTGGAGTAGAACATTACAGTAATAAAATGTGTTGAGAATGATGTTGCTCATCTATAGGCCTAAGATGTGTTTACAGTTTATGGTGGCGTTTATTCGATGGAAAAATAAACGCCTCGCTGCGTTTATTCGAGGGAGGCTTATTCCAAAATAGGTTCTAGGGACGTTTATTCAAAGTGGGGAGGAGGCATTAAATCCGAAATACGGTATATATAAAGCCTATATACTATAGCCTATATTTCACCTTGTTTATACAAAGCCTATATAGAAATAAATATAAAACGATTTCTTGTCTCTTAAGAACACAGATATATCTTGTTTTATTGTACAAGTCGTTATGTATAGGCTTTAGAAACACTTTATTGGAGAAAAAGGAAAGTCCACCTATCCCAGCTTTATCTTAGGTCTTTATCAATATAAGTGAGAAACTGAGCAAAAAGTAGGCACGTGTGTATAGGCCTGGCTACGGATACAGGAAATAGGCCTTGGCCTAAACAATGCGGTATACAAAATCTGTCTCTTATACACAATTTTGAAATTCAAGATGGCCGCCAGAATGACCTCGAATGAAATATTGTAGTTCATTGTAAAGATTTTGAATTCTGAGAGTCTGGGGATGGTTCTAATGTAAAATATGACAATTATGTAGTTTTTAAGATACCATACAATATTTGACCTTGAATGACCTTAAATGACCTTAAATGACCTATTTGTGGCAATCTGACCAGGTCAAAAATGGTATGATTGTATTCCTTGACCATATAAAAATAGTTTCAGACATTAGAATTATAATTCCAAGTGGTTTAGAAGCGGAGATATAGATAAACATAGGTTTTATTAGGCGGCCATTTTGAAATCCAAGATGGCCGCCATAATGACCACGGATGAGGTGGTTCCCACCAAAAATTGAATGCTATGACCATAAGGAGCATGTAAAAAGAATTTGGTGCTTTTGTCCGGAACGTCCACATCCAACTGCTAAGCTGCCGGACTATAAGTAGACATCTATTAGAAACGGATAAAACAAAAGACTGTGTCAAATTTATAATATTTCGGAAAGACGTCCATATTCAGTGTATCACAAAGATTTGGTTCACTCACAACCTGTTTTAAAGTGACATATTAATAGTAGGCCTATTATTCACTGTAAAATAAACAATTTCTCCATGAATAAACACACGGTAAAGTGGTATGTAATGAATAGGCCCTATTATGAGGTTGGTGGTAGTGAGATGCTGGGATAGGGTGTGTTCTTTGTGGTGATCATTACTTCCCCATTTAGGCGAGACTGTTTTTTATACCTTGTTTAGCGAGGGCCGCTTCCCGCCAATAATAATTGTTTCGAATAAAAATCAAATTTTCAGTTTTGGCCGATTAGCGCACCCGCCGCCACTAAGAATGGAAATTTCAGAAAAGAATAAAAAGCTTTTTTTAAAAAAAAATTATTCATTACGCTCGCCACTGCCTTGAAATGTCCAAAAATAACATGTATATTTTTTCCTAATTATATAAACCTAAAGCATTTAACCGTCCCATTACTGCACTGTTTATATTCACCAATAAAATTTATTTTTAATTTCTCCTCCTTCTGAATGTTTTTGGAAAAACTCAGCTATTTGCTAAAATGAGAAAGCAAAATGTTGTTTTTATTTTTTTCTGCCCTCCTCTTTAAAAAATGAGTTCGCGAACGAAGCAAATAAAAAAAAAAATTCTCGCCTTATGTTTCGAATTATATGATGTTATTTTAAATACAACTAATTATTTCTTTTTTGCCTTTTCTTTTCTTCTGATGTCTGTTGCTTTGTTGTTGTTTTTTTTTTAATGTGTACTGCATTTTTTTGGAAGTCTCTTCAAAATTTGGAGTGTGTCACTGTTAAAAAAATATAGTTTTCCAAATAAATTACTTACTTATTTATTTCATTAGGAAAGCCTTACACATTTTCCCCTCGAAAATTGAAAGTACCATTAAAATAGTCGATTCACCCTTTTCTTATCATCTAACAGTAGGCCTATTATTTCCATGAATGTCCTTCATTTCAGCTATATTTGGTAACATACTGCCCTCCTAGCTTTGTTCTCATCCAATCAGCTGTTTCTAATCACATGACCGGGTGGGGACGTCAAAATCAAAATACAAATTCAACCAAGTAACATACATTAGAAAGATGGCGCTCTGCGATTGAATTATAAAGGACCAAGTATATCTGAAATGGAATATTAATATTGAATTTTTCTAATTGTGAAATATATATCAGAATCATGGCTCAACCGAAGATTAATATGGCTGCTTTGCCCGCTCCCATTAAAGCAAAATTGGCTGAATTGGAACAGGAGTTACGAGAAGGTAAGGTCTGGAATGTGCTTTGTTTTCATTTTGCACGGCCAAGGCACCGAGACGAGAGGCATTGATAACGCTCGGTTTATGGCTGTTTGTGTGACCAAGCGAGGCTGAATGAGAATGAATGAAAACATATATTTATATACTTATTGTATGAGTATATGTTCCTCTAGTCTAGCACGATACTTGTTATGACATTGTCTTGTATTCCAGTGCCATACTCACGTTGTATACGAAAAGTCCTAATATATAGTAATATTTTGGCGTGAGATTCTGTCCTGTTTGTATGTGTTGAGCCTTTCTTTTGTGGAGTTGTGTTGATGATGCTAACCATACACATGGCTAGCGATGGCCTAGGCCTGGGCACAGTGTGTGTGTGATCTTGATGTTGGTACAGACTACACATAGGCCTAACCTATTCTCCAACATTGAATTAATACCTTGTACTACTAGACCGCCTATAGTTAAATTGAATGCATCGTTTCCATTTCTATAATTCCATCGTCAATCATCCTCATCGAGGATCGTAAACTATAACTAGGCCTATATAGTAAATAAAAGACCAGAAATGAGTTGAAAAATAACACAAGACGTACAAATACATCAGTATTACAGTGTAGTACAGTAGTACAAACACAACATTGAACATGCAAAACCCCTATTCACCACTTCCAACGAACAAACTCTTGAGTTAACAATCTGGTTTTTATCCTGGCCTTTTATTTTAAAATTAAAAAAAAAAAAACTGCTTGTCTGAAAAATTTAAGATTTAATCTCACATTTTTTTCCAATATTGTAAATTGCATCCATATCTTAATTAATTAAGGCTATAATGTTTCATTCATACTGTAATTTATTTTATTAATAAATATCCTGAATGTAATAATATTCAAATATCATTGGAGTGATATTTATCATCAATAACGATATGTACGGCTTACTTACTAAACCTAATGAAATGGATTCTGTATTATTGAGACTGGTGACTAATAGTTGGAGGGTTTTTTTGTTTGGAGAAAAAAGTATTGTACTACTGTATACATTGAGAGAAGGTGAATTCAGGCTACAGTAGAATAACACTAGGGACTGGATGGCAAGCTGTTCTCCAATCAAGCCACAGCCTACTCAAATTACCAATGCATTGCATTTGTACAGAACATTCTAGTGAATATGAAGAAAACAGAGTTTGATACCAAAAGTGCAGATCTCAGTACAGAGAATTAAAGATTACCTTTGAGACCAGGGTTTTCAATGGTCTTTAGCAGCTTTGATCTCTTAGAATGATATTAATAGACATAATAGACACAAAAAGTGTTCTTTAATTGGGGGTTGTCGTTAATTGGAAGGGCTTTAATTAGAGGGAGACCTCTGTAAACATCCCCTCATTAAATGTATTAGTGTCAAATTATTTATTCATCCTCAGCCATCATTAATTATCATAATCAGTATTAAGATGATTATTAATTTACCTTTATCAAAATTAGTATGTACCATCATTCAGTAGTGCTCAGCAAATCTATTTTAAAAGTTGATTTTGTATAAAATTTGTATCATTAAAATTAGAGGTTTACCAATTACCATTGTTTTCATAATCCTCATTCTGATGATAGTCTAGCCATTTATCATAATAATTATTGTGAATACTGAATATTATCATTTTAATCATCATTTTCAACATCATTGTTATATTCTCTGTGACACTTTGTTATGCAAAGTATATGATCAAAGAAAATGTAATCATGAACCTTAACTAAATTATTAGATACATAATGTACTGTAGCTCAATAAATACAATTGTGGAGCTCTTCAATTTGCTTGAATTTAAAACCCATGATTGATTTCAATAGTGAAATTAAATGCATTTAATTGTTATGTTATCAGATAATCTACGGTTGGATAAGAATCGACCAGGTCATTAGCGAGTGCAAACTGCAACTGGGACATACTGTACTGTATAATAGCCCCAAAGGCTATAATTTCATACAGTAGATGATAAAATTTTAAGACACAGTCCAAAGACTTACAAAATAATTAGTAACATGTAAACTTATGATTGCTGAAAACATTGAAATATTTTAAATTAAATTTATTTCAGAATATATTTGCCATTACAAATGATTTAATTTTATTTTGTTTGTTCATTAATTGAAATTTGCATACTATACTGTACAGTAGTAGGTCTGTGATTAATAAGTTTCATCATATTATAGGGTAACCCAAATAATGATTATTTTAAATTACAAAAAAATATTATTTTTGCTTTACATTATTTTTTAAGAATATAAAATCAACTTAATTAACTATAGGCCTATTTTCAAAAATAGTAACACAGTAATAACAATTTAATTAATTACATGTGTTGTGTTTAAGGTGTCATTATATAAATTAAGAAATTCTGACCTAATATGAAGTTAGTTAATAGTTTTTTAGTCCAAAAAGCTATGCTAATGATATGAAATTCACTGTATATTTCTTTGTGCCTATGCTAATCAAACTATTGTTTTGCTCATCATTTTCATATGAAAAAAGCCATATACAGGATCTATAATTGCTAGTGTAAACATCCAGCTTATGGTATAAACCCTGCAAGTTATGTTCCCATCCTTGCAAAAAATGTTTTCCATAAACAGAAAAGTGATGGCATATTTGTTAATGACTGGCTGGCAGCTATACTGAAAAACTCGGATGTTAATTTCCTTGGCAAGTTTCCTTGTGACGGTGGAAATAACTGTTGTGCTTGACAAGATGAACTGTTCATTTTTGCCTTTTGAATCTGAAGGCCCTAATTGGGTTTTCCAAGCTTTGATTTTCAAAGAAATTAATAAAATGCTACTATTAAATATTTGTTGTAAATTGGTTTTACCTTGAATTGACTTTGTTTGAACACCCTGAATGGAATGACCATAAAATTCTAAAAAATATTTATTATTTTCCCTGAATCTGAAGACCTGGGCCCTGACTCTGAGTTTAAAAGCGTAACCTGGTCTAGCAAACCTTTAAAGTTTTGTACTTTAAAGGCTAAAAGCAAAAATTGCTCATTTAAACCCACACATGTTACACAAATAAAAAAAAGAAAGTGTTTGTTTATTGTATGGTGATGTGTAACAGCTGAACACACATTTTACTATTTAAATTAATTTAGGGTAATAAATAATTTAATGGTTCAGACGGACCTTTTTAACAATTTTTTTCATCACTGTGCATAATTTTTTCCTTATTAATAAATTCCTTACACTCTGTCTCTCTAATGTACTGTAGTCTTTTTTTTTGCTATCCTATCAGCCACTTCAAATGCATTAAATATTGATTTGGCATTTTGTATAAATCCTTTTTTTGTTTTGCAGTATTCTACCAAAGTACTCTGTTTACACAACATACATAAACAAAAATTGTTACAGTACTCTTTTAAAACATGGCAGAGGAATTTGTACTAACTATTTATAATGTGAAAAAGTATACAAAATAGATATAATAAGATAAGATTGTCATCAAACTACTATGAAATTACAATCTTGGTGCTTGATAAATAATGGAAAAAACAACAAACTTACTAACTACTAAGATATAGTGAATACTGTACATAAAATACTATTTAAGATTAGTTACACTTATACTGTAGATATACTGTAGTTAATTACAAAAAAAGTTCTGCACATGTTAATTATTTGCACTATGCATGGTCAATACTATTATATTTGATCCCTCCACCATTCATCAATGAAAATATGTTGATAATTATGCATTGCTGGTAACATACAGTATTACCCTGTAGTAAATAAATAATGAATTACTTTATTTGAAAGGAGCACTTTTGCAACGGTGGCATTCAGGAATATGGTTTGTTCAAAAGAAAATGAAACAGACCAGATAAAGAAACCAAAAAGTATAGGATGCTGTAAACAAATAAATCTAAAATCAAAACCAGTTCATAACAATTACACTGGTGGTATGCTGTAAACTAGCAAAGTACTGTAGTGTACATCACTTTCATTCTTTCTTCCTAAGTTCCTCTCTGTTGTTTGGTTACTTCAGTAACATAGCAAAACATTAACTCACTGAAAATACAAACAAATTACAAACTCACAAATAAAGAATTTACTAATGATTCTAAAAATAATTATAATGTCAGAAAAACAGCAATATTGTAAGAACCCACTTTATAATTGTTGAAAAAAAAAATCCAATGAGTTATTCTGATGAGTAGTATAATTCTAATGCATATCTTGATTCAAATCCAGGAAGAGAGCACACTGTATAATTACACATCTTAAACCTGTAGGTTTGTTTTAGGTTTGATTTATAGCGGGTCCATTTTAACTTTAAGAGCCTCATGTGCGGGTCAGTATTATAATAATGTATAAAGGGTGTTGTTGATAAAAGTGGTACAGTCACAGGTGCCTACTGTAGTCTTATAAATTTCAACATCATGTGTAAAGTATATATTTTGCAATTTTTATACTCTTCTCCTGGCTGTCAACCAGCTTTGAAGTCATCTCCGGAAATGGAATTGATAAATCCTGTGTACTGTAGGATATCAATAACAATTAAAATTTTAAGTTGGCAGAATTGATTGTTCAATTTCAAATTTCCACTTCAATTCCGCCAGTGGTTTTATAGTCAACAGCCTAGTACAGGCCTTAAACGTGCATGTTGAAGGCCAAGGCAAAAATTGCAGATCATGGTATTGTGTAATGTTCTTTCTAACTTCTATTATGAATGTTGTGTTTGGATATGCTAAAATGTTTATTGATCTACCTTTGACATAGTGTGAGTGAAACTAAATGCTAAAGCTATATTGACATTGTAGTAAGGTTAAGAAGTTAATATAAATGCAACACATACTGTAGCATTAACCACACATATTTTGTGTGGTATTTGTCTCATTTGAGCTTTCAAATAAATAAACCTTGAGAAAAACAAACTGACATAAAACCCAAGTATTTACACAAGAATGAAAAAAATGGTATTGCCATGCAGATTTAGAAAAAAAAAATCAAATTTTTAAC